TTGAGGCTACTAACAACTACTACGATAACGACGCTGATGATGCTTCAATTGACACCGACAACTCCTATGGTCCCGGTCAACCAAAAGACGACGAGTCCTTACAAGAACACTTACATGGCCCTCGTCCAGCCTTTGACTACTTGGATTCTCTGTCGAAGCCCTTTTTCTCACATTAGACGGAAATGCCGACTCTTTTGAGTTCCACCGTCACCACGACCCTTACCGCGTGTTCGAGCCTCGCCCTTGTCCATTGGTCAGCATTATTCCCCACGCCGATGTCGACATGCATGTCTCTTACCCCCACAAGGTGCGTGATGCTACCGGTGCTCTCAAAGACCTCGGTTGGATTGACGACTTCGACTTGGACCCAAATACTGACCCTCGCCGCTTTTACTAGCCATGTTGTCGAGTCCCCTGATCAAGGTGTTGGTGTCCTTAGAAGGCCTTCATCTATTACTGCGGCTGAAGCTGTTCTCTTGAGGTACACGATGATGCTGAGTCGTGGCACTGTTACTCGATGTGACGGCACATTCCCTATGCCCTTGGGATGGAGTTTCGATCGCTCCCTGATTAAGCCCTTCGAGATTCATGACGACGAATGGTTTGACCAGTACCCTACTCAAGCATGCTACGACAATGCCCTTGGCAGCTCCTTTTGTGTTGCCCATGATAGGAACCTACGCCTCTACGAAGGTAATCGTAACCCACTCGAACTAGCTCGAGAGTATAAGCCCTTACGGTGAAATGGTCGGTCGGCCGGTTGGTTAGTTGGTTGGCTTGGTTCGCGGATGGAGATGACAGACTTGCTGGATTGGTTGAGTCCCTTTTTATTGCTGCCCTTTTATCTGCTCTGACTATTGACTGCTATAATTATCTCTTATCCTCTTAGCGTGATCCAGACTAAGAGGGGGGGAGTGTAGGGATCGCGCCCTACGCGCTCGCCCTTGTAATCGTTATCGTCTGATCACTTATATTCGCTCGCCATCGATCGCGCTATGCACGTATGCGCACTGTGTGCTCATGAACTTAGGATAAGTAGAGTTACAACTCCCTTTTGATCCTTCTCACTCGGCTGCCCTTCTACGAAGGTCTGCCCTTGTTGTGAAGTTCGACTACGCTATCCACTGAAGTCTGGCTACTAGTTGTGTTGCCCAGTAACAGGCACAACACTACCCTCTGAACATGAATCGTTTCGCTCCGCCGACCGCTATGGAATCGATCGAACGCTTTCGTACGGTATACTCGTACTCATCAACACTGTTGTCCCTATCTTATCCCTTCATCATGGCATCCGGGAATAGGCGTCGAGCCTTGGTCATTGGGGGTGGGTTCTCCGGTCTCTTCGCTGCGCATGACCTTTCGAGTAACTTGGAGGTTACTTCGATTGATGCCTAGGAGTACTCCGAGTACACTCCAGGTGTTCTGTGAGCCTTTGTCCATCCTGGTCATTACGATGCTCTATCATTTACATATCAACATGTGTTAGAGCGCAAGATGGGTATCAAGTTCCTATGGGGTGAAGTGAAACAGTTGGATGGTAGCCGTTTGGTGGCTCATGTAAAGCCTATGTTCTCTGAGACCACTGAAGAGGTCCCCTTTGATTACTGCATTATTGCAGCTGGTTGTAACTTTGGTGTCTTCCACAAGTGGGGTGAGAGTCTCTGGTTCCCGACCGTTGACGAGGATGCTTGACCTGAGGGGTCTTGGCCTCATCGATGAGAGGTTCATCGAGGGACGGCGTAGATATATTTTTGAAGAGCATGAGAAGTTGAAGACTCTGAATAAGAAGAAGGCATCAGTTGTCGTTGTTGGTGCTGGCTAGAGAGTGATAAGAAAGAGAAGGATGTTAAGAAACGTGGTCCTGGAGGAGGTGGATGGATTCGTGTTAACAATAACCTACGAATCATTCAGTTGAATGAAGATGGTTCTGAATCGCCATTCGGTGGAGGGCACATGTTTGCCGTTGGTGATTGCAACTTTTCGTCACACTTGGTGGACATGTGGTGCTGGTATGTTTGCTACTCCACTCGGTCCAAATGTTTGCTTCGTTTTGGGTACGAAATCCACTCCTGGCACTGGTCCTATGGGGCAAGGCTTCAGCTATTCAAAAGGGTCGTATAGAGTCTACTAAGAGGCCTTCGGGTTGGTATTTTGTTCATCATACTCCTTGTATGAACTAGAGATTCAGCGTATTACTATCGGTTGACACGGAGTGACCAGTCAGTAATGATCGATCGATGCTATTCAAGATTGTGGCGCCATTTGTTTTTATCCTTGGAATTCAACATTCCTGATTATTTTCTAACGAGTCAGTATCGTGTTATCATAAGTTGATGTCTACGATGAGCGATGTGTCACAGGCGATACCACTACAATTGGTATCTGTCTTCTTTCGGATCGCTAAACTAGATGGTACGAGATTGCGTGCTCACCCTTACATGAGTGGCTGCGTAAATTGAGTGCCTGACAACCTAGCTGTTATTCAATGATGATACCAGTAATACCAGTTCTGCTACTGAAACCTCATGTAGAGAACTCTTACCATTCATCTCTCATCGCACTGATACACAATGAATTGAAATGATGATACCAGTAATACCAGTTCTGCTACTGAAACCTCATGTAGAGAACTCTTACCATTCATCTCTCATCGCACTGATACCCAATGAATTGAAATGATGATACCAGTAATACCAGTTCTGCTACTGAAACCTCATGTAGAGAACTCTTACCATTCATCTCTCATCGCACTGATACACAATGAATTGAAATGATGATACCAGTAATACCAGTTCTGCTACTGAAACCTCATGTAGAGAACTCTTACCATTCATCTCTCATCGCACTGAATCGTTGAATTTCTCATTATTCAAATAATCTTTGATTCCGCCAAAGCCCAAAAGAAAATGGGAGTGAGTTGGTAGAGTGTTGCCTATTCGCATACATCATGCATCGTAGTTAGTTAGCCCGACTCGTCTGGTGCCCATGGCGTCTGTCGACGCTTGCGGGCAGAACTGTTCGCTTGCTGTCGCATTGAAACCCACCGCAAATGTTACCAACGGGCAACAACCCACTCACACCGGGTGGTATCGTAAACAGGACAGCGGACCCTGAATGCGGGATTCGGTCGAGAGACTAAACTCGAACCAGAAACCCGCACGTCGGGCCGCCAAATCACAGGGTTGAGGCTCGCTCGAGGTCGATCTTTGGAGGTCGGCCAACGAGCTGTCTCAGCCGAGTGATTCAACCCGGGAGAGGGGGGCGGGGAGAAGATAAACGAGCCCGCGTCGCAACTGCGGAGGGAAGGTATACATATACCACGAGCAACTCACAACAGGCCTGGAGTACAGGCTACGAAAAGCCTCCTAGATGTTTCTCGCAATCGTATATGTGCAGTACTGTAACGGTCTACTTCGCTCGCCGACGACACAAGTTACCGCACTATCGATTTTTTATGTGGTTGTTTCCGCACCGATGACTCTGGTCTTGTAACTAAACTTGATTACTTCGTAACCATCACATATATCGGCTATATCTGTGATTAATCACTGTAATAACGAAACATTAGACGTAGTGAAACGTATCTTAATCACCAATACTTCTTCAATCACACTGAATCTCTTCGTCACCACCATCCTAGAATAACAACAAAGTGGACATGAAAAGGAAGTGTAAATAGGAATACCTCAGGTGTTGTGTCAGTAGGTGATGGCTCGGGTGGAAGATCTTCTTCAGCTTCAGCAAGACACTAAGAAATACTATTAACAATAGATAAAGGTAACTACTACTAATACTAGTACTACCTCTGGCTTCTCCCATACACTTTCGCCAGTAGTATCATTATTGTAATATACCAATCCAGTATCATCAGCAGTATACTCAGTCCAATGAGTATGGGGTAACTTATTAGGAATGATGATAAGTAGCAAGTAGTATATGAGCATACTACCTTTTTGCCATATATACTGGGGGACCTGTCGAATACTGTACCAGAGAGATTCTCATGCAGTTTTTCACAGGTCAACTTTGCATGAACAGGTCTATTGGCATCTGAATGTTAACCCATCATGACATAGTTATGATGACCACTATCTACTCTTGAAAACGAACTTGCCGTTCATCTCATTAACACATTCCTCAGCCTCTTCCTTACTAGAGAAGGTCACAAAGGCGACACCACGATCTGATTGTTGACCATCCCGAACATAACACAACCCAAGGATCTTCCTTGGTTGACTCCTTTCCTCTGTAGAGGATCCTAATTTATAAGCATTGAGTTGGAGTGTAGAGCTGGTGGCATCATTACCGATGCCCCTGAGTTCTCTCTTCAATCTCTCATCCGATACAGTCTGCGGTATGCAGCCAATGAAAACTTTATTCTCGGGAACTCCTAAAATCAATAAGCCTCAAGCTGTTAAGATCCCTATGCTTCTTGGATTCGACTGATAACGATAAACCTATTACTACCATCAACATTTATTTCAGTACGTTGAACCTTAGTAGGAGTTCCTGAACTTGTCCCTCTTCTGTATTATCCCCTTCTTGTGATCCATCATTATCTATACTCGATGATGAGCCTGTCTCCAATACTAAGCCTGCCGCCCTTCAATCCCTCCTATTACTATCTACTACAATTGCTGCCTCAGTAGTAGTTCCTGTAGGGGCGGCTGCAACTGCTGGTGATTGCACCTAATAATGATGATGATAGTAATGATAATGAATGATGGATTACCTCTGAGACATCAAGTTCAACAACTGCCTCTTCAGACGGTGGGAGGTTAGATGACATTCTTGCAAACCTTAAGTGCTGATCATCATCAACTTATCATAGATTCCGTCACGCGCCACGAATATATGTAGCATCTTGGACCGAGTTTAGTAGATGTTGTGTTTGAGCCTATTGCCACCATCATACTAGTAGATGCTGTACGGGATTATCTTCGTAATGTGGGTATAAGTACATGGTTCATTAGTGGACTGATGAAAGGTGTTACCGAGTAACAAAGGGCTTTGGGAAGTTGATCAGGCAACCCTTTTAATAGTAGATAAAGGGAACTATATAGGAGTATGAAGAGGACTAACTCAGGCGGACCTTTATTAGTCCCTACTATCTCAGATCAGCCGCCTTATATGATGTAAGGTCTATCATCAATCTTCATTATTTATGATGGAATAATATAGTAGTAATTATGACAATACTTGGACAGCATAACTGAGCATCGAGTTGCAAAATAACAGTCCTTGCATTAGCAACGGTAATGTGGACTAAAGTTAACATGAACAACACTATTAACCCAAGATTATTACCACACAGAAACACATGTTCATTCATCTCGTAGGACATCACTTCCTTTAGTACTCTCCTCTGCTTTACGTTTCAACCATGCTTTATATTCAGCTCGACGAGGATTCCTACCAGATGATGTGTACTACTATAATAAGGATGATAATAATGAGATGATACATGAGATAGGCCTTATCATCTTCATCCTTATCTTCATCCTCAGCCCATGCTCCCGATAGATCTGTCGCTATGGACTTCTCTTCTTTGAAATCAAACTTGGCCAATTGAGCCAGTTTAGCTTTTCGAGCATCGCTGGCTCGCTTCCTTGCAGCCTCCAAAGCAGCACGTGATCTTACATGCACCTACAAGGTACATCGCTCATCATCCAAAACAACATACCAATGATAATTAGAACCTTTATGTTATAGGTCCCGGTCCATGTCTTAAAGGGCAATGTTATTCTAACCTAACATGAAACTTAGAAATATTATTAACAGAGTTTGATGACCTCATGTAAACCGGAATAGTGTATACCACTGGCGGCGGCGGCATGGGGTAGGATATCCAATTGACTAGGTAATAGATCCAATTCATGTCTGTAAGGAGTATGTATAGGAGTAGGGATGTATTGAACTCGATGCTACTGTTTGCTTAAAGCTTCGAGAATATCCAAATGAGTGAGAGGTTCCGCCAAGGGTTCCTCAGAAGTAACTCCTGATCCATCACCACCACGGGTCTCACATATGAATTGAAGACTTATGTGTTGTATCCAATCAAATGGACGTGACTAGACGTAACATGAAAGAACGACAATGACAATGACATCCTATTAGAGGAGTAATAGTAGTACTTCTCCTTTAGCACCAACTCCAATGATAGTAGCAGCTGTTTTATCTATAAGGCTTGGGTCAGCATACATATCAACATTCTCCCACAGACTAGCATACACAGCTTCTTTCTGCGGTACCTTCCGACTTTAAATGAATCATTCGTTTTGTTGATAAAGATTACTGACCAGAAAATGACGAGCTCGTCCTCGACGTACCATAACTATCTCACCTTTTACACCCAGACGAGGTACATCTTTTAATAATATTACCGGTATCTCTTTACTCACGAACTGATGTTGAGCTCCAGTATAGGCTGGATATCCAGTGGCTGAAGTCTTTATGCGGAAATCATGTAAGAATAAGCTGTAAAGGATAATGATGGAGTATTGATAAAGAGTTATTACAGAGGTAGACTGCGACGTAACATCCCTCCTCCTCCTCCTCCTCGTATTATATTAGCTGCTGCTGCTGCTGCTACCATGGATAATACCAGTGATGGAGTATAAGAAAGTATTCCTTGGGGTTAGCCAATGATGATACCCCTGGTATTATTGATCAACTCAAGTATGAATATGTTGAATGATTGGTAGTAGTTGTAATGATAATAACTACGACTGATGACTAGTAGTAGCAGTAGGTATGATAGTACGAGTAGTAGAACATACGGAAATGCTCTATCCAACTATCATAGGCTTATATCAACAATAACAACAACATAACCAGCTAAGAATGTTCACCAATACATAGCTGCTAAATTGAAGTAGACGATGAAAGAACGTAGTAGTAAATATGATACCATACGATGAAGGTAGTATAAGATATACCCATGCTGCTGTGAGGCCGCCAAGCAGCAGCAGCAGCCAAGATGATGATAAGTTGGCCGCCAACTTTAATAAAACTACCACTTCTTACCACTCACTATCAATTCAAGAGGCAGCAGCAGCAGCAGCAGTGCTTAAAATCATCTCTTCATCGTCTTCTTCTTGTTGTTGTTACTGTCAGTGTTAGTGTTAGTAGTAGAGCTGGTAGTAGTATTAGTAGCCACTAAACCTGGTGGTGGAGTAAGATGCTCATTTCCCTTCTGCTTAATACCAAGACCTAGTAGCATGAACAACAGTATTATCATTATCGTCAGTATTATCGAGTGGACTTACCTGGCGGAGGTCCTGAGAAGTCCGAAGAAGGTGATGATTGTGGTAGACGATTCTTTCGGGTAGTAGTAAGATTATCGCCATCCCCCAAGTCGAAGGTCATAGCATTCCATTGATCATACTGACAATAATAATAATACTAATAATATACCTTCAAGGATTACCTCGGTATCATCTTCACCATCCCTGATACCCACATCTTCCTCATGAGCAACATCATCATGATGATGATGATCATGCGCATCTCCATCAACAACAGCAGTAGTTCTATTACCGATTCCAGGAGGAGGAGGAGGAGGGGCATTACTACTGTTGCTACTCATCGATGCTTCTCGATAATGTTGTTGATCTAACTGTTTGGATCTAGTATTTGGAGCAGCAGCAGCAGATGCCACAGAGCATGAGGTAGAGTCAGGAACAAGAGTAGTTGTTGAGGGTACTCCAGCAGCAGCAGCACCACTAGCAGCAGCAGTTCCAGTGGTCCACGCTCCTGCATTAGATCCTAGACCTAAATAGATATATATCCTACGTAATGCTACTACTTCTTCTTATGATTGTTGTTGACTGTACCTGTAGTCCCCCATGCCTTAGCTGCTGCTTGAGCTGTAACATCAGCTTGTGTACCAGTAGGGAGATGTAATCCACTGAATCCACTACCGAAACCACTACCACCACCACTACGATTAGGAGGAGCATCTATGATAATAATAATCAAGTATAATAATAAGGAAAGATAATACTTACCAACACCCTGACGATGACGACTCTGTTGCTGTTCTAGATTACCAAGGACCTATAATATCCCAATATGAGCGAGAGTAACAACAACATCATCAGCAACAACATGCTACTACTACTACTTGGTCCAAATAACGTTCCGATACATGCACATGTTGTTGTTGTTGAGATGATGATGATGATTGAGTAGTAGTAGTAGGTAGTTGGATAGTAGTGGGTGTATTAGATATAATATCATGATTATAGGCACATCGATCACCATAAGCACACCTACCATTACACACTATAAGGATAGTAATAGTTGTTGAAGAACGAACCTGCCAATCTGATGGAACTTGCATGGCAATGTCTTGGCCTTAGCTCGACCCATAGCCATCGCCTCTTGTTGACAAGCTATCTGAGCAGCCATCAGACTCTGTTGATTAGTGGGGCCGCCACTTCTTGTTGTTGTTGCTGAGGCTGCTGATGACAAGGGAGTACTTGTAGTAGATACCTAATAGTAGTAGTAGTGATAGACTGAATAAGTATGAGACTCATTATAACCTGAGGTCTAGCCCCATGCTGATCAATTGAAGATGGTGGTGGGGGAGTGGCAGTGGGAGTGTGACGTTGTTGTTGTTGTGCAGCCTGTGCAGCAGCTTGAGCAGCGGCATGCTGAGCTCCCTGTCTAGCTGATGCTGCAATAGCTTGAGTAAGACCAACAGAACCTGTTATCTGACCAGATTGGACCTACGACCATCATCATCATTATCATAAGCATCACGATCATAATCATCACCAACCTGAGCTGATAGTTGTTGTTGTAATTGTGCTATCATAGCTGGAGGTAGATGACGAAGTGGTTCCCTTCCAGTAGAGGTATGTACATATCTAAGAGTAATCATCATGATCAACATCATCATCAACAATGTGATAATGATGATAATTAAGACTACTATTACCTGCACTTATCCCCAAACTTACACCAACCAAAGGTAGTGAAGAATGGGCAGGGCGTATTAGTAGTAGTAGCTGATGATGATGATGGTAGAGCATTAGTTACTTGAGTAGTAGTCGAGGGAGATGGTGTTGGAGTCGGTGTAGATCCTGTAGAATAATAATAATAATGATTAAAACTTGGTTTTATACGCTTACCTTGTTGTTGTTGTTGGATAGGTACTTGAGTTCCCAACTTGTTTGCCAAAGCTGAATACTTAGTCATCATCATTATTATACTATATGTTACGATTACCTTGTATCATACCACCCCATTCCTGACCAGTAGCTTGTTGGGTCTTCCCTTCTTGATGTGCAGCAGCAGCAGAAGCAGAAGCAGCTTGAGCCGCCGTTCTTGCTGCCTGAATGCTTACTTATACTACTATCATTAGTGTTAATGATGATATATACCTGTTGTTGTTGTTGATGTGCTGCTGCTGCTGCTGCTGCAGTATTAGTAGTAGTAGCAGCTAACTGAGCAGCCTGCTGTTGTTGACGAGCCTGTTGTTGCTGTTGTACCAGTAACTGTAATTGTATCTGTTGTTGTCTTGGTAGATTAGCCATCAATTGAGCTATACCCGATTGGGTAGCAGCTGGATTACTACCTAAATAATAATAACAATAATACTACCATTATTACAACCATATGAGTACTACTATTACTTCTACTTAAGACCTCAGCAATAGACTTGGATATATTAGACATACCACTAACTGATGATGGTGCTGGAGAAGATGATGATGACTGAGTACCAGGCCGTTGCTGACTCTGGCCAGCGAACGCTGTTGCCTGAATAACAACAATAACGGTATTGAAATGATGATGATGATGATGTTGTTGTTGTTGTTATGTATATAACCTGATGTTGAGCAGCTGTGATCTGTTGTTGTAATAACTGCTGAGTACTGGTAGTGGCAGTATTAGTAGTAGGTTGTTGTTGTTGGTTTGGTGTTGTGGTTGTAACGCCAGATGATGGAGTAACCTAACATGAATCTATATACATATACATCACTATTACTGGTAGTACTGTAGATGCTTGTTGTTGTTGTTGCTTGCTCTCAGTAGGTTGAGTATGGTCATCATCTACTTTAGAATCATGTAGAATCTTAGTAAGATCAAACGATGATGATGCCATCATCTCATCATCTTCTGTTGCCTGGTAGTAATAATAATAACAACAATATGGCAACATCATATGCTTACCACATCTTCCTCCTCTTCATCATCATCATTGTTGCCTTCTACCTTAGCCGTTAACTTACGAAGTTGCTTCTTCAAACCAATAACCTAGTAATGGATTAAGATGGATGAATATATCTAAGTAATGATGATACCTGGGAGTGATTCTCCTTTAACTTCATCTCACATTGTTGTAGAACAAGAGCTAGATCACTACGATATAGTTGAGTAACTCTGAGGAGGAAGAGAAAAGTATGAACACCAGTGATAAGCAACAATAAACGATGATTAATACTATTATAATAATTACCTTTGTTGGACATCAGATTTCTCCTTTTGCCAAGCTGTAAATACAGTATGTTTAAGTTGAGCTAATTGCTCAGTATTCTGCCCACATCTCAATGTCAACTCTTGTTTCAATTGTGCCATCTTCCTCTTTACATCCTCTATATCATTGTTCATACTCTGCTGTTTCTCAACAACATCAGTAACAGCACGTGTAAGCTCACCATGTTTAGCATGATAGGCTCTAAGGACCTAAGAAGTGGTATCATTACTACTAGAGTATGATAAGACTACTACTAATAGTACCTCATCATTACGGACTTTAGCTATCTTAATCTGTCTAACAACCTCTTGCATCTCATTCATCATCCTAATATTATGTCGTTTAATAAGATCCTACACCATTATGATGATGATGATCAACCTTCACTTGTTCATACCTGTTCCATACTAGTACTCCTCTTTTCTACCTCTTTCATCAATGCTGGCCATACCTACCAATAAGGATATCACTATTATGTCAAGATCGAGATGAGTATATCACCTTATTAACTATAGCTTGTAAATCAGGATTATCCATACTAGGTGGGGATGCTGCTGACTTTACCGCATTCTCCATACCATCCTCATCATCATGCTGTTGCTAAAGCTAATAATATTAACAAGAATAAGTATATTATATATTACATGATCTTCCTTGTGTGTAGTTGTATTATTATCTCTTTTATTATCTACTAATAATGATACTTGAAAGCTAGTAACACATACTATATTACCTTCATCGTTAAATGATGATAAGCCTACTCCTCCATTATCCTTAACATCATCATCATCATGAACAATATTATCGGTCTGATCTTCAGCCGTCGACATTATTATTATTAGTCGGAGAACACCACTACGAGCTAATTTTGTCCCATGCCTACATCGTGTAAAACGTTGTGCTAAAATTACACTAAATCGGAATTTTTCGCCCATGACGGACTGCTTCACCCACTCTCATAAACGGTTTCTTTCTTAGGGTATTTGCGCGTGTTGGGAGTATCTTTTAGTAATGACTGCTAGTGTGTTGAAGCTTCCTTGATCTAGAAAGAGTATTATTATTGATGATAGCTTCTACTACTGTCCGTCAATTACTACTAAAGGGTAAGGCAGCCATCCTGGATCCTAAGGTAGTACTAGTAGTAATAGCTGTTCATTGTTGTTGTTATTGTATGTTGTTAGATGGGTTGGAAAACTACCCATTTCTGGGGTCCTATGGCTAATTGGGGTATTGTTGCTGCTGGTGTATTGGATATGACTACTCAAGGGCCTGATATGATATCTATACCTATGACTGGTACTTTATGTGTTTATTCTCTATTATTCATGCGTTTTGCATATATGGTACAACCTAGGAATTATCTATTGTTATCCTGTCATATCTTTAATGAGGTAATAATACTATATTATTATTATTATACTTTATCATAACTATTCAGGGTGTCCAACTTATCCAACTTGGTCGTGCTCTCAAGTACCAGAGTCAACACAAGCTTGTAGCAGATCAGCGTAGACAACAGATTACTGCTATGAAATCGACTACTACTAGTATTATTGCCAAGGAGGCATCTCCTAATAGTAGTATAACAACACCATCTATGACATCATCATCGAGCAGCAAGTCCATGTTTGCTGTATCTGCTGCTGGTGTTGCTGCTGCTAAGGCTGCTAGCGACATCGCCTCTAAGGCGGCCACCACTACAACAGCAGCTTCATCTACCACTGCTGCTGCTGCTGAGACTGTTGTCAAGTCTGCTGCTGCTAGTACTCCTGCTGCTAAGACAGCTCAAGCTGCTACTAAAGCTGCTATTGAGGGTAATAGATAATGAGTATAGGAGTTTATTATTAATTAGGTTCGTTCCATCCCGTCCTAAAATTGAGATCTAAGATATGTGCTTTACCTATGCCTGAATTATTAAGGAAATTCTTTATGCATCCTGCTGGACCCTTTACCATATTCTTCTGGGCTCCTGCTATCAAATGGGGTATATCTGCTGCCAACTTAGTTGATTATAAGAGACCTGTTGAAAAGGTTAGTATCCCTCAACAGCTTGCTCTATTCGCCACTGGTAATAATACTAACAATCCTTAGTGGAATGATAATCATTATCTTAGGTGTTATCTGGGCTCGTTGGTCATTTGTTATCACACCAATTAACTACAATTTAGCAACTGTTAACGTGTGTCTAGCCTCTACAGCATTCTATCATTTGATAAGAAAGGTAATAATAATACTCGTAATATCGTCGTCCTACTACAACAATAATACTATTTAGTTGGTATACGATCCCTTCCCTACTACTAATGATGATGATGTCAAGAAGACGACTGTTACTACTACGTCCTTGTAGACTCCTTATAGTAGTAATGATGTCGTGTTATTCCTGAGTATTATCATTCACATCGTCATCATGATCGTTCTGGTAATAGTATTATTACCACTCAACAACAATTGTGTAGTAGCTGTTGATGATTGACTCTCGTTGTTCCTGGTATCCCTAGTATTGCTACTACTACTACCATTCACACCTATTGCATTGGAATTACTTGGTAGTAGTAGTAGTAACTAGTTGGGTGTAATCATTGTTACAACAGTGTTGTTGTAACTGTTCATATCCTACTACTTCACACTATTATGTTGTGTTGTCATTATATGGTATGTTTCTTGAGCATTATTATTATTATAATGTCATCAATTATAATACCTAAAGCTCGCCTATTGTTAAAGAGTGGTAAAGATGCATTCTTAGATCCTAATGTAACTATGAAGATGTTGTTATTGTAGACAGCAACAATATCTAGTATGTTTTATCAGATTGGTTGGAAGACTACACATTTTTGGGGTCCAGTTGCTAATTGGAGTATAGCATTAGCTGGTATTACTGATCTTACTACTAAGGGTCCTGAATATATATCCTTACCAATGACTGCTACATTATGTGTATATTCTGCTATGTTTATGAGGTTTGCATGGATGATAAGACCTAGGAATTATCTATTATTCTCATGTCATGTATTTAATGAGGTAATAACACATAATAATGATACATCTATAATACCACTACTACTACCTTCATTAGGGAGTACAATCGATACAGCTGTATAGACGTCTACAATATGATAGACAACAACAACAACAACAACAAGAAGGACAACAACAAGAGATAGTTTATAAGGATGATAACAAGAAGAATGGTATAATGTGTGCTGCTGCTGCTGTTGCTGGTAATAGTATTATGGAAATAGTTTATAGTAGTAGATGATGATGGTTACTGTATTAGGTGGTATTGGTATAGTTCCCCGTCTACAAGCACGTATAACAGCTTTACCTATGCCATTGAAATGTCGAGCATTTCTTAAACATCCAGCAGGACCATTTACCATATTCTTCTGGGCACCAACATGTAAATGGGGTCTTAGTGCTGCTAATCTATTAGATTATAAGAGGCCAGTACATTCAGTAAGTATACCACAACAATTATCATTACTAGCTACAGGTGATAATAATATTAATAATACATGTTAATAAGATTAATAATAATAGGTGCAATATGGTGTCGTTGGTCTTTTGTCATTACTCCAATAAATATTAATCTGGCAATGGTTAATCTAGCCTTAGCCTCATCTGCAGTATATATGTTAGTACGAAAGGTAATAACTCCCGATCACCATCACCAGCACCATCTGAATACGTTACTCAGTATGTATACGATCCATTCCCCACATCACCTGGAGAAGAGAAGGATGATAAGTAAAGTTTATGAGGACCACGTGAAGAAGGAGGAGAAGGAGAAGTCTGGATGTAAAGATAATGCGTTAAGCCTTTGTGCTGCTACTCATCATTATATTTATGCTAATCTTGATAACTGTTGTCTTACGACTCTTGTATTATTAGTATTCGAGTATTTACAATTATTAAAGTGTGCACGGGGGATTGGCACACACCACGACGATTACGACATCTCGAGGAGGTTCTCCTCCTTCTGTTGGTGATGGTATATATTGGTATCTTGAGGGGGATCATGCCGTCTAGGGGCCTTGAAATAGTACAATTCGTTCTCCATTAATATCAACTTGGACAGCATTAGGGTTTATTATTGAACTCAACAGCTACAACTCTTATTACCGAGCCATTTAAATCGAGGTAGTAGGGCGGTGGTGTCTTTATCTACAACTTACAGGAGATATTATCACGAAGGCATTCACTTCATATTGGTAATTCTGATACAATCTACTCTATAAAAAGGCTGCTGAAATCTGGATTGGGCTTCCTTCATCTTAGCTTGATCTAAAGCAAGTTGTAGTAAAATGTTATGATTGGATGATGATGGCCACAGCAGCAAAATGAACAGCAAGAAGAAGAAGAACAACACGTGATCACTATTACCTATCCCTCCTCTGCAACAACATGTTACCATAGACAATTGTGTACAAATCTAGAGGGACACTTGTGTAATACAATGTAACATATCTATTATATAATAATATCGGCGTAAGATTCTTGTTAATATCTAATCATCATCATGAATAGTTTTATCCTCTCCTTCCCATGGCTACTAATAATGATAGTAGTATTATAAGACGACTACGACTACGACGACGACCTTTACTAGGATGGGTATTGAGGTGTATTCCACTATTTATGGTACCACTCATTAGTATATTACTACACTGGCCACTATCCACTACTTTATTATCATTTCTTATAAGCTGTAATAACAGTCTAGTATTTATGTTAGTATTGTTGATTATGTTGTTCAGCAGTAATAGTAGTATTCCTATATCTACAAGAAGGATTAATAGTAAGCAGCAGCAGCAGTAGCAGCAGCCTTATTAGAGTACCATGGACTTGGCGTATACTACTAGTATGGATGCTTCAATTAGTGATAGTAAAGGTAGTAGTAGTAGCAATAGTAATGCTCCTCCTTTTCCTCCTCCTCCTGTTACTGGTGGTGGTGGTTGGGTCATATTGTGTTATATGTATTCAGGGTATTGAACTATTACTTTATGAAGATAATCATGTGGTGTCTATGAACAGCATAACAAACTTATGGGATAGTAATAACTTATCAATCGATGTAAAGAAAAGAGAAGGCTCCTTTAAAAAGGATGTTAATTTACCTAAGCAGCAGCAGCAGAACAGGGAGGATGATGATGCTTTTCTACCTCTACCACCTGTTGTGACTAAGTAATATTATCATGCATGTTATCATCATCATCATCATCAGTAGGCACGATGCCTCATCATACAGTATTCAACCGTACCTATCGTACAGTATTGTATTACCTTGTGCTAATGAAGGAGAGTAATACTGCTACTGGTGCTACTGCTGCTCCTGCTAGTAGTGGTGATGATGATTATGATGTGACTGTTGGTTAGGTTTATGGTCAAGACTGCTAGGTCTGTATATGAATCGACACCGAATCTTCATGAGATAATAGTAGTAGATGATGGTAGTTCCCCACCGTTGAGGACATTAGTTACTGGTAATAACAATAATAATAATAATAGTCAATATTCAGAATATTGATCCGTGTTAGATGAGGAAGTAGAGTTATGGAAACTGAAGTTTATCAGGCATGAACATTTTACTGGTAATATCAAACCTACAGGCTGCTATTTCTGTTATTGATAATGCTGCTGCTGGTATAGGTCTGATAAATGCTAAGAATGTTGGTGGATGGAAAGCTACAGGTGATATTATAGCATTCCTTGATTGTCACGTTAAACCCGATATTTATTGGTAATAATGATACTACTACTAATCAGTGATTACTATAATGATGTAATCAGGACCAAACCAATAAGTAAATATATATCTGAAAACTCCAAGACTGTAGTAGTACCAACAGTAACTAGTCTTGATCCTAATACATGGATAGAAACAAGAACTCCTCCTGGTAGTAGTAATATTTACTGTTCTTGTATTCATTATTATCATGATACTGCCGACGTATAGGTACTACCAGATGTTGTAAATTAACTTGGAATGTTGATTTCCCTTGGTATAATGCAGATGATACTAGAGTACCTGTAATGATAGGAGGATTACTTGCTATGCATAGGAATATGTAATAATGTTGTTCATTATCATTATCATCATTATAATGATGATGATTATCAATGGGTATCAATATTGTTGATTATTATGTTGATAGGTGGGAGTATACAGGAGGATATGATACTGGTATGGTTGGTTGGGGTGGTGAGAATATTGATCAAAGTCTACGTATACATCTATGTGGTGGAGAAATCATGAAGTAATGACAATAATACCAACAACAATGGAGCCTCCTCCTCCTTTTTTTCTAATACTATCATCATGCTCTTTAGTGCCCTCGATAGCTATGTTGCTCATATGTGGCGATTACAAGGTGATGAGAAGACTAAAGCTAAATATACATTACCAAGTGGGAGTCTTATGCGTAATAGGTGAGTATTATTATCATTATTAATATTAACCTTATACTAATAGATAATAGGTATCGAGCTGCATTAAGTTGGTTTGATGAGTTTATTGCTAAGGCTGAAGAACAATCAGAGTAGTAGTAGTAGTAGTAGTTATTGATATAGTATTATTATGAATGATGTTATAGGTTTCTATATTGGGGTCATGGAGGAGATAAGCCTGATGTATCCAATGTTATGGAAATCAAACATAAGAATCATTGCAAGCATTTCTCCTACTTTTTAAAGAAGTAATAATATCGTTATCAGAAGTTATCATCCTCCTCCTTGTTTTTGAATAATAGGTTCAAATTCTTATATGAAGATGCAGGTATGTTACCTAAGAACGTATTCCATCTTAGAGCACGATATGATGGTGGTAGTGGCGGTGATAATGAAAGATGTCTCGAATTGAGAGATAAACAGAGATTGGTAACCGCATCATCATTAACATTAGTACTTAATATATGCTAACACTTTATTATTATAACAGGTAATGAATAAGTGTAGTAAAGGCAACAGATTACAACTATGGCATGGCTCCAATTATGATCAACCACATAGCTTTAAATGTTGTCAAGGTAGTAGTAGTAGACAGTAGGGAGTTGTTGTTGTTATTATCATTAACAGCTATCGTAGTTGGATAGTGGTATATGTCTAGCAGTGATAGTGGTAGATTAGCACCTGTATCATGCGTTGA